TGTTAATGTATTGTATCACGTGGATTGATTTGCGGATGTTGAACCAACCTTGCAGCCCAGGGATAAATCCCACTTGGTCGTGGTGAATAATCCTTTTAATGTACTGTTGGATCCTATTGGCTAGTGTTTTGGTGAGAATTTTTGCATCCATGTTCATCAGGGATATTGGTCTGTAATTCTCCTTTTGGATGGGGTCTTTGTCTGGTTTTGGGATCAAGGTAATGGTGGCCTCATAAAACGAGTTGGGAATTTTTCCTTCCATTTCTATTTTTTGGAACAGTTTCAGAAGAATGGGTCTTAATTCTTCTTTAAATGTTTGGTAGATTTCCCCTGGGAAGCCATCTGGCCCTGGGCTTTTGTTCGTTGGGAGATTTTTGATAACTGCTTCCATTTCCTTAGTGGTTATACGTCTGTTCAGGTTTTCTATTTCTTCCAGGTTCAGTTTTGGTATTTGATACATCTCTAGGAATGCATGCATTTCTTCCAGGTTATCTAATTTGCTGGCATAGAGTTGCTCATAATATGTTCTTATAATTGCTTGTATTTCTTTGGTGTTGGTTGTGATCTCTCCTCTTTCATTCATGATTTTGTGGATTTGGGTCATTTCTCTTTTCTTTTTGATAAGTGGCCAGGGGTTTATCAATCTTGTTAATTCTTTCAAAGAACCAGCTCCTAGTTTTGTTGATCTGTTCTACTGTTCTTTTGGTTTCTATTTCATTGATTTCTGCTCTGATCTTTATAATTTCTGTTCTCCTGCTGGGTTTAGGCTTTATTTGCTGTTCTTTCTCCAGCTCCTTAGGTGTAGGGTTAGGTTGTGTATTTGAGACCTTTCTTGTTTCTTGAGAAAGGCTTGTATTGCTATATACTTTCCTCTTAGGACTGCCTTTGCTGCATCCCAAAGATTTTGAACAGCTGTGTTTTCATTTTCATTGGTTTCTAGAAGTTTTTTAATTCTTCTTTAATTTCCTGGTTGACCCGTTCATTTTTTAGTAGGATGCTCTTTAGCCTCCATGTATTTGAGTTCTTTCCGACTTTCCTCTTGTGATTGAGTTCTAGTTTCAAAGCTTTGTTGTCTGAAAATATGCAGGGAATGATCCCAATCTTTTGGTACTGGTTGAGACCTGATTTGTGACTTAGGATGTGATCTATTGTGGAGAATGTTCCATGGGCACTGGGGAAGAATGTGTATTCTGTTGCTTTGGGATGGAATGTTCTGAATATGTCTGTGAAGTCCATTTGGTCCAGTGTGTCATTTGAAGTCCTTATTTTCTTGTTGATCTTTTGCTTAGACGATCTGTCTATTTCAGTAAGGGGGGTGTTAAAGTCCCCCACTATTATTGTATTGTTGTCGATGTGTTACTTTGCTTTTGTTATTAATTGGCTTATATAATTGGCTGCTCCCATGTTAGGGGCATAGATATTTACAATTGTTAGATCTTCTTGTTGGATAGACCCTTTAAGTAGGATATAGTGTCCTTCCTCATCTCTTATTACAGTCTTTGGTTTAAAATCTAATTTGTGTGATATAAGGATTGCCACCCCAGCTTTCTTTTGGTGTCCATTAGCATGGTAAATTGTTTTCCACCCCCTCACTTTCAATTTGGGGGTGTCTTTGGGTCTAAAATAAGTCTCTTGCAGACAGTCTATGGATGGGCTTTTTTTGTTTTTTTGTTTTTAAAGATTTTATTTATTTATTTGAGAGAGAGAGAGAATGAGAGACAGAGAGCATGAGAGGGAGGAGGGTCAGAGGGAGAAGCAGACTCCCTGCCAAACAGGGAGCCCAATGCAGGACTCGATCCTGGGACTCCAGGATCATGACCTGAGCCGAAGGCAGTCGTTTAACCAACTGAGCCACCCAGGCGCCTGATGGGTTTTTGTTTTTTAATCCAATCTGATAGCCTGTGTCTTTTGATTGGGGCATTTAGCCTATTTACATTCAGGGTATCTATTGATAAATATGAATTTAGTGCCATTGTATTGCCTGTAAGGTGACTGTTACTGTATATTGTCTGTGTTCCTTTCTGGTCTATGTTACTTTTAGGCTCTCTCTTTGCTTAGAGGACCCCTTTCAATATTTCTTGTAGGGTTGTTTTCATGTTTGCAAATTCCTTTAGTTTTTGTTTGTCCTGGAAGCTTTTTATCTCTCCTTCAATTTTCAATGACAGCCTAGCTGGATATAGTATTCTTGGCTGCATATTTTTCTCATTTAGTGCTCTGAAGATATCATGCCAGTCCTTTCTGTCCTGCCAGGTCTCTGTGGATAGTTCTGTTGCCAGTCTAATGTTTCTACCATTGTAGATTACAGACCTCTTCTTCCGAGCTGCTTTCAAGATTTTATCTTTGTCTCTGAGACTCGTAAGTTTTACTATGAGATGTCGGGGTGTTGACCTATTTTTATTGATTTTGAGAGGAGATCTCTGTGCCTCCTCGATTTTGATGTCTGTTTCCTTCCCCAAATTAGGGAAGTTCTCTGCTATAATTTGTTCCAATATACCTTCTGCCCCCCTCTCTCTTTCTTCTTCTTCTGGGATCCCAATTATTCTAATGTTGTTTTGTCTTATGGTATCGCTTATCTCTCGAATTCTGCCCTCATGATCCAGTAGTTGTTTATCTCTCTTTTCCTCAGCTTCTTTATTTTCCATCATTTGGTCTTCTATGTCACTGATTCTCTCTTCTGCCTCATTTATCCTAGCAGTTAGTGCCCCCATTTTTGATTGCATCTCATTAATAGCCTTTTTGATTTCGACTCGGTTAGATTTTAGTTTTTATTTCTCCAGAAAGGGTTCTTCTAATAACTTCCATGCTTTTTTCAAGCCCAGCTAGTATCTTTAAAATCATCATTCTGAACTCTAGATCCAACACTTTAGTAATGTCCATATTGAGTAGGTCCCTGGCAGTTATTACTGCCTCTTGTTCTTTTTGTTATGGTGAAATTTTCCGTCCTGTCATTTTGTCCAGAGGAGAATAGATGAATGAGAGAACAAAATGCTAAGAGGGTAACAACTTCCCCAGAAAATATACTCTAAACAAATCAGAAAATACTTGAAACTGGGGGAAAAGAAAGGGAAAGAAAGAAAAAAAAAAGAAACGAAAAGATAAAAACAAAGAAAAACAGAACAAAACCAAAAAAAAACATACTATGATCAAATATGATCAGGCTGGTGCATAGATCATTGCCACACACTAGATTTTTGGTGTATTTTGGTCTGTTAGAAGAAAGTGCCTCCCAAAATTTTAAAGAAAGAAAAACTTATATATGTACAGAAATAAGGGTTGATATGATGAAGGGATGGAATATGATTGTAAAGATGAAAATTATAAAAATTTTTATGAAAGGAATTGATAAGTTGTTTGAAAAAAGAAAAGAGGATTTAAAAAAAAGAAAAAAAGGGAGAGAATATGATCAGGCAGTAGACTAGAACAAAGCCATACACTAGTGATTTAGGGTATATTTTGATCTGTTAGAAGAAACTGTATCTCAAAATTTTAAACAGTGAACAACTTATATATATATGCCAAATTAAGGGTAACTACTATGAAGGGATAGACTATGACTCTAAAAATGAAAAATAAAAAAGAGTTTTTAAAAAGAGGATTGGTAAGATGTTGGTTGAAAAAGGGGAAAAAGAAAAACTCAAAAAAAAAAAAAAAGACAGTTAAAAAAAATTAACTTTGAAAGACTAAAGAATCATGGGGATAAAGCCATGAATTCTATGTGCAGTATTCCCCTAGTGCTGGAGTTCTGCCGTTCTCATTGATTGGTAAACTTGGCCTTGGCTGGCTGTTCTTGCCGATCTTCTGGGGGAGGGGCCTGTTGCCATGGTTCCCAAATGTCTTTGCTGGAGGCAGAATTGCCTTGCACTTGCCCAGTCCTGGCTTAGTAGTCTGCTCGGGTTTGCTCTCTGGAGCTTTTGTTCCCTGCAAGCTTTCCATACAGCTTTGGAGGACAAGAGTGGAAATGGTCGCCTCCCAATCTTCCACCCGGAGGAGCCGAGAACTTAGGGCCCCGCTCTTCAGTGCGCCCCCAGAGAAAAGCGGTCAGTCACTCCCGTGTCCCTCATCTCCGGCTGCACTCCCAGCTCACCTGGCCTGTGACCCAGCATTTCTATCTCTGGCACCCGACTTGGTGTGGAGTCTCCAAACCCAGTAGATCCCTGCAGTGCATTCCCGTGCTGCTCCTCCTGGGAGAGGAATGGGAGGGAGTCTCCCCGGATCTGCCGCTTGTTGGGTCCCTGCTGGAGGAGCAGTGCCCTGACTGTGCCGCAGATCACAGTTTATGGCAACCCTGAGCTGAGAGCCCGCGCCTCGGCTCCATCTCTGCAGCCGGCTTCCCTGCTCTGATACCTGGGAGCTCTGCTGCACTTAGGCACCCCTGGTCTTTCTGTGACCCTGAGGGTCCTGAGACCACACTGTCCCACGAGGGTTCCACCCCTGGCTTAGCCACTGGAGCGACATCCCTCAGCGGAGCAGACTTCTGAAAGTTCCGATTTTGTGCCCCGCGGCTCTATCACTTGCCAAAAGCAGTGGACTGAGGCCCCCTCCCCCGCCATCTATCCTCCCGAATATCGCCTCGGATTCACTTCTCTGCATGTCCTACATTCCAAAAAGTGGTCGCTTTTCTGTTCAGAGAGTTGTTGCTATTCTTTTCTTTGATCTCCTGTTGAGTTCGTAGGTTTTCAGAATGTTTTGATCCCTATCCAGCTGAATTCCTGGGACCAGATGAAATCCAGGTCTCCTACTCCTCTGCCATCTTGCTGCTCCCCGATCTTATGCATTCTTATGCACACAAAAAAGAAAATGGTCACTATGATGTTAATTGGCCTAATTATGACAATTATTTTCCTATATATATATATATATATCAAAACATCAAGTCTTTAACTTTATATATAATTTTCATTAATTATACCTCAATACAGTGGAAAAATGATTTTAAAAGTTCAGAATAAACAATTTATGAAAGTTTTATGTGCTTTTAAGTGCCTTTTTCTTTTTTCTAGTCAGAATCAGCTGTTCCAGATTTAATTCCTCTTTATCTAGAAATGTATATTGTGGTGGATAAAGCTTTGGTATGTATTTTTCTTTTTCTTTGCTTTTAAATATTTGGTGTGAATGTATAATTATCCCTAGCTAGAAAGGAACTTAAAAATTCCAGTCTTTTTACTACATGTCGTAGAGAGAACAGTGGAGAATTTGCAAACTGAAAAACCAAATACTCAAAATTACATATTTCTATTAGAAATGTTTAATTTGAAATGTTTACATAAAAATCCTGGATAATAAAATTATTTTTAAGCTGGTACTTCACATCTTTAGGAACTCTTTCCATCTACAGTATTTTTTTAATGGTGATATTTTAAGTGAAAATCTTTAAGCTTTATTTTTTGTTTTTAGAGCACTTGAAGAGCAATATGTAGCCTAGGGAATGTTTGTCCTATAAAGTTTTTATTGGCACATAAGTGATGACAGTATAACTATGAGAACTGCTTACATTAATGTATCAAGATTTTTTTTTTTGCGTGGTTTTTAAAGGTTCACCTGTTCTAGTGTATTGTTTACCTGGTATAAACATATTTCTAAATCCCTGATTCCCAAAAACTATTTGAGGACCTTTAAACTTCAGGACCTTGGGATGAGAACTTAGTTTGCACCCAATCAGGTGTGGCTTTATTTCCTCCATATTTCAGAGATTTCAGAAAACAGGGATAAAAATATACTTTCCAGGTTTTGTTCTGATATGAGCATTGTCACACCTCTGGAATACTACAGAGAATATGAATCAAACACATTGTCAATTCTATTTGTAGAATTGTAGAGCTTGTCAGGAAGCCAGAGTTGAGATTCAGAGACAGATAGGATTTAGAGAAGAATAAGAAAATACTCGATTTATTAGAATATAGGGGAAAAGGACAAAGGAACATTTAAGAGAAATTTAAGATATTTATAATAATGATGACTAAATTTCCAGGGAATATTCTGGATTATAAAAATCATTTTTTTTTCAGAATTCTGTTACAAACTTTGAGAGTTGTTTTAAAAGCTTCTTGCCCAAATTGTCAGGTTTGCCAGGCGTACGATACTGATTAAACTTCCCTTTTCTATGTTTTTATACATATTTACATATTCTTTAATAAAACAAACATTGAGCCTGCTGTGGCATCTATGTGACTAGATGCTGGGCATATAAAGAAGAACAATAGTGATATTGTCTTCAATGACTTCCCAAATTTTAAATCCACAATTGCAGTCTAGTGAATTCAATGCTATGCTTGAAGGAAGCATATGGGAGTATAAAAACATGGTCCAATGATGGAGAAAGACATGGAAACACAGCTATAACCGGGGGTAGTATAAAAGCATGCAAGTAGGTATTTTAAAATGTGTTTTATTATTATTCATGTATGATGGGGCCAACAGATCAGGAGACAAAATTGCTGTTGGAGAGATAGTTTGTTATTCACAGTTCCCAAAAGGAGAGAGTATGCCACATCCTGCAGAAGCCACGTGGGGAAGTAACAAAATAGGTAAGGAGACAGAGGGAGCAAGGGGAAAATATGGGCAGGAGACCTGATTATGGTTTCTGTGGGAAAGAACTCTTGAGGCAAAGTAAACAGGTTTATGGTTGTCTAGCTTGAATAATTTCAGTGGGTTCTGGGATGTGGAGGTTGTCTCTAGTTGGCTCTTTGGGTGATTAGGGCAGGGGAATAATGGCATGGAGTGTGAGATTCTGATAAAGGAGGTGGTTGGGGGATGGTTTGTGGATTAGTTAGTTTGGATAATGAGGTGAGGGTGGGGCCAGGGAAGACTTGGTGCAAAACTTTTCCTTGCAAAGGCGCATAAATATGAGAGAAGTTTCTTAAAAAAAAAAGTTTAGTATGATTAATACATAGGGTTGAAGAAGGAAAATAGAAAGAGATAAATTGAAGAACTGATACAATATTTGGATTTTATCCTATTTATCCTATTTTATCCTATATCCATTAAAAAGATTTTAAACAGGGGAGTGACAGGTTCATATTTTCATTTTAGAATCATCATTTTTGTAATAGTGTAGGGACTGGATTGCTGATGGGATAGTTGGAGACATTTAAGAGACCATTCCAGTAATCAAGTCAAACGTTTACTAGTTAGTAGTATTAGTAATAGAAAAAAAATTTTTTTTAAGTTACTGCTGAGGTTGAATTAGAAGGACTTAAATTGATTTGATTTATCCTTTCACTTAATAAATTTATTGAGCATCCTGTAGATCCAATTACTATTCTACTTTTGAGGATACTGCTGTGAACACAACAGAAAAAGTTCTGCTCTTATGGAACATGCAGTATCATAAATGTGGGAGGTCATAGATGATAATACCTTTAATTAAAGTAGTGGGAAGGTAGGTAGGAGAATGATGAGCTTCGTTTTACGTATGTTTCATTTGAGGGTCCTGTGGAACATGCAAGTGGTGCTATACTTAAGAGATTTGATTTATAGATATGGAATTTGACATTGGGACATTCCACAAAGCTTGTTTAGATTTCAGTATTTGTATATACACTAATTTGTGTGTGTGTAGGTTTGTGCACTAGGATCACATATGTAGCCTCAAAAGAACCATCACTACAAGACTCTCTTACATTATTTCTTCATAGTCACATCCATTTCTCCCTACTTCCCAGGCTTCTTAACCTCTGGCAGTCACTAATCTGTTCTCCAGTTTTCAGGAATATTGCATAAATGTTATTTTGTAGTATATATCCTTTGGAGATTTTTTTTTTTTTAAAGATTTTATTTATTTGACAGAGAGACACAGCGAGAGAGGGAACACAAGCAGGGGGAGTGGGAGAGGGAGAAGCAGGCTTCCCGCTGAGCAGGGAGCCCGATGTGGGGCTCAATCCCAGGACCCTGGGATCATGACCTGAGCTGAAGGCAGACGCTTAACGACTGAGTCACCCAGGCGCCCCTCCTTTGGAGATTTTTTTAACACAGCATAATTTTCTTAAGGTTTATCCAAACTGTTTCATATATCAACAGTTTAGTCAGTTCCTTTTTACTAATGATCAGTATTCCATGATATGATTGTACTACAGTTTGTTTAACCAGTAAACCACTGAAGGACATATGAATTGTTTCCAGCTTTGGGCTAATAGGAATAAAACTGTTATGAACATTTATGAACATGTTTTTTGTGAGCATCGGTTTTGATTTCTTTAGGATAAATGCCCAGGAGTATGGGACGCCTGGGTGGCTCAGTTGGTTAGGCATCTGACTTGTGATTTTGGCTCAGGTCACCATCTCATGGGTTGTGGGATTGAGCCCCATATTGAAGATTCTCCCTCTGCCGCTCCCCCCACTTGTTCTCATTCTCTCTCTCTTGAATAAAACTTAAAAAATATAAATAAATGCCAGGAGTGCAATTGTTGGGTCATATGGTAAGTATATTATTTGTTTTAAAAAAGCTGCTAAACTTTCCAGAGTGGCTGTACGATTTTACATTCCCATCAGCATATATGAGTGATCCAGTTTATATTCATTTTTTTAATTTGTTACTATCTTATTTTGAACTGTTCTAACCCCAAAGCAGCATCAAATTTCTGAGAGTAGATGGAGAGTATATTTCAAACATATTACATAACAGATTGTATTTAATTTGAAATTAATTTTTTTTTTCAGTATGATTACTTGGGCTCTGATAGCATGATAGTAACAAATAAAGTCATCGAAACTATTGGCCTTGTAAATTCGGTAAGTATTTTTCTTTTCATACTAGTTAGAAAAATTTATACTAGTTTTGAAATTATAATTTCCATTAACTTCACTTGGCATTTCTGAATAATTAAGCTATCTACACAAAACTGAGTATGGATTTGTCAAAGCATTGAATTAATTTCTTGGTTATTATAAAATAACATAAACATTAATTTTTCATGTATTTATCTCTTGTTTTTAGATGTTTGCCCAATTTAAAGTTACTGTTGTGCTGTCATCGTTGGAGATGTGGTCAGATAAAAATAAGATTTCTACAGTTGGTGAGGCAGATGAAGTATTGCGTAGATTTTTAGAATGGAAAAAGTTCTATCTTACTCTGAGGCCTCATGATATTGCATATTTATTCATGTAAGAATAATGTTTCAATATTCTTAGAAAGAAAACAAAGATCTGTGATAATGATGTAGCTTAATTTAGGGAATTTTTATTCATTGGTGACTATTAATACATTATGTGCTTCATTCAGGCCTCATATTCTCTTTCTGTTTGTCACTAAAACTTGCTAAAATTTATTTCTGTGCTTGTTAGCTTTTTACTAATGAGGAGACTGAGATTTCTAGAGGTTAAACAATTTCAGGATTCTTGGATCTAGTGGTGTCCTTCCAGTTTGAACCCACAGGTTTTAACCCCAGAGCCCATAATCTTAACCACTACCTAAAAAAATGGGATTTATGAAGTTTATATTTTTGTTATGAAGTTGGATCAAAGACTTGGGAAAGTAGGTTAAAAACAGTTTACCCTAATGAATTTTCTGCATTATTTTTAAATATTAGTTTTTTTTTGTTTTGTTCTAGTTTTTATTATGGAAAATTTCAAGCATAACAGCAGATGAGAAAGTAAAATAATGAATCATCATGTACCTTACATATCCATAAAACAATTATCAGCTTATGGCTAATTTTTTTCTTTTTCTCACCCCCTCAAATTCAGTTCTTTTGAAGAAAATCCTATGTGTCATATTATTTACGTATCTCTGAAAGATAAGGATTCTTTTTTTTTTTTTTAAAGATTTTATTTATTTATTTGAGACAGAGAGAATGAGAGACAGAGAGCATGAGAGGGAGGAGGGTCAGAGGGAGAAGCAGGCTCCCAAGGAGCAGGGAGCCGGGTGCGGGACTCGATCCCGGGACTCCAGGATCATGACCTGAGCCGAAGGCAGTCGCTCAACCAACTGAGCCACCCAGGCGCCCAAGATAAGGATTCTTTAAAAAGTATTCACAATACCATTATCACACCAAAAAATGGCAATTCCTTAAAGTCATCATTGTTTAGTCAGGGTTCAAATTTTGCATATTGTCTAAAATATTTTATCTTACATTTTATAGTTGGTTGGTTCAAATCTGTATCCATGCAAGGTCCACACATTGCATTCATTTGATATGTCTCTTAGTCTCTTTAATCTGTGGATTTCCTCTCTGTCATATTTTCTTACCAGTTTATTTGTTGAAGAAATCAATATAAGTTTTCTAATGATCAATTATAACTATATATTTTTAATTGCACTCATATAAAACTTAGTAGCAATTATAATCAGCAATATCTTTCAAAAAATCTGTATATACATATTTTTAAGTTGGCATGTCAGTATTTCCTTTGCATATGTGGGATTAAAATTTTTCCCGCATCTCTGCCAACAATAAATGTTATTGCTCTTTTCATTTTTTGTCAGCCTGATTAATTAATGTTAGTGCTATTTATTTATTCTTAAGTTTTAATTTTAATTTCAGTTAGTTAGCAGTGTTATATTAATTTCAGGTGTGCCATATAGTGATTCAGCACTTCCATACAACACCAGGTGCTCATCACAAGTGTATTCCTCAATCCTCATCATCTGTTTAACCCATCCCCTTACCCACCTCCCCTCTGATAACCATCAGTTTGTTCTCTATAGTTAAGAGTCTGTTTCTTAGTTTGCCTCTCCCTCTTTTCTTTCCTATGCTCATTTGTTTTGTTTTCTAAATTCCACATATGAGTGAAATCATATGGTATTTGTCTTTCTCTGACTTATTTCTCTTAGCAGAATATTCTCGAGCTCCATCCATGTCATTGCAAATGGCAAGATTTCATCCTTTTTTATGGCTGAGTATATATATACACCACTTCCTCTTTATCTGTTCATCAGTTGATGGGCAGTTGGGCTTTTTCCATAATTTGGCTATTGTACATAATGCTGTAACTATTGGGGTGTATGTATCCCTTTGAATTAGTATTTTTGTATTCTTTGGGTAAATACCTAGTGCAATTGCTGGATCATAGGGTAGTCCTATTTTTAACTTTTTTGTGGAACTTCCATACTGTTTTCCAGAGTTGCTGCACCACTTTGCATTCCCACCAACAGTGCAAAAGAGTTCCCCTTTCTCCACATCCTCGCCAACACCTGTTGTTTTTGTGTTGTTGATATTAGTCATTCTGACAGGTGTGAGGTGATATCTTACTGTAGTTTTGATCCTAATTCCCTGATGATGAGCAATGTTGAGTAACTTTTCTTTTCTTTCTTTTTTTTAAAGTTTTGAGTAACTTTTCATGTGTCTGTGGCCATCTGTATATCTTGTTTGGAAAAATGTCTATTCATGTCTTCTGCTCACCATGATTCATTGTTTGCAAATATCACCCAGTGCTCCATTCAGTACGTGCCCTCTTTAATACCCATCACCAGGCTAACCCATCCCCCCACTCCCCTCCCCTCTAGAACCCTCAGTTTGTTTCTCAAGAGTCCATAGTCTCTCATGGTTCGTCTCCCCTTCCGATTTCCCCCACTTCATTTTTCCCTTCCTACTAACTTTGTCTTTTTTTTTTTTTAACATATAATGTATTATTTGTTTCAGAGGTACATGTCTGTGATTCCACAGTCTTGCACAATTCTCAGCGCTCACCATAGCACATACCCTCCCCACTGTCTATCACCCAGCCACCCCATCCCTCTCACCGCCCACCACTCCAGCAACCCTCAGTTTGTTTCCTGAGATTAAGAATTCCTCATGTCAGTGAGATCATATGATACATGTCTTTCTCTGATTACTTTGCTCAGCATAATACCCTCCAGTTCCATCCATGGCGTTGCAAATGGCAAGACTTCATTCCTGTTGGTGGCTGCATAATATTCCATTGTAGATATACCACATCATTTTTTATTTTATTTTATTATGTTGGCTAATCACCATACATTACATCATTAGTTTTTGATGTAGTGTTCCGTGATTCATTGTTTGGAAATAACACCCAGTGCTCCATTCAGTACGTGCCCTCTTTAATACCCATCACCAGGCTAACCCATCCCCCAAGCACCTTTCCCCTAGAACCCTCAGTTTGTTTCTCAGAGTCCATAGTCTCTCATGGTTCGTCTCTCTCTCTCTGATTCCCCCCCTTCATTTTTCCCTTCTTACTATCTTCTTTTTTTTTTTTGACATATAATGTATTATTTCTTTCAGAGGTACATGTCTGTGATTCAACAGTCTTGCACAATTCTCAGCGCTCACCATAGCACATACCTTCCCCACTGTCTATCAGCCAGCCACCCCATCCCTCTCACCCCCACCACTCCAGCAACCCTCAGTTTGTTTCCTGAGATTAAGAATTCCTCCTATCAGTGAGATCATATGATAAATGTCTTTCTCTGATTGACTTATTTTACTCAGCATAATACCCTCCGGTTCCATCCACATCATTGCAAATGGCAAGATTTCATTCCTTTTGATGGCTGCATAATATTCCGTTGTATGTATATGCTACATCTTTATCCATTCATCTGTCGATGGACATCTTGGCTCTTTCCACAGTTTGGCTATTGTGGATTGCTGCTATAAACATCGGGGTGCACGTACCCCTTTGGATCCCTACATTTGTATCTTTGGGGTAAATACCCAGTAGTGCAATTGCTGGGTCATAGGGTAGCTCTATTTTCAACTTTTTGAGGAACCTCCATACTGTTTGCCAGAGTGGCTGCACCAGCTTGCATTCCCACCAACAGTGTAGGAGGGTTCCCCTTTCTCCACATCCCCGCCAGCATCTGTCATTTCCTGACTTGTTAATTTTAGCCATTCTGACTGGTGTGAGGTGGTATCTCACTGAGGTTTTGATTTGGATTTCCCTAATGCTGAGTGTGTCTTTTTTTATGTGTCTGTTGGCCATTTGGATGTCTTCTTTGGAAAAATGTCTGTTTACGTGTTCTGCCCATTTCTTGTGAGCTTGTTCTTTTTCTAGTTCCTTTAGGTGTAAGGTTAGACAGATTTTTCTTGTTGTTGTTGTTTTTATTGTTGTTATTGTTGTTTTGAGGTGGGTCTGTATTGCCATCAATTTTCCTCTTAGAATTACCTTCTCTGAGTGCCATGGATTTTGGACAATTGTGTTTTCCCATTTTCATCTGTCTCCATGCATTTTTTTAAATTTCCTCTTTGATTTCTTTGTTGACTTATTGGTTGTTTAGACGCATGTTATTTAGTCTCCACATGTTTGGTTTTTATAGTTTTTTTTTCTTGTAATTGATTTTTTTTTTAACTCTTTTAAATTTTATTATGTTAGTCACCATACAATACATCATTAGTTTTTGATGTGCTGATCCATGATCCATTGTTTTCATATAACATCTAGTGCTCCATGCAGTACGTGCCCTTCTTAATACCCATCACTGGGCTAACCCATCCCTCCACCCCCTTCCCCTCTGGAACCCTCAGTTTGTTTCTCAGAGTCCATAGTCTCTCATGGTTCATCTCTTCTTCTGATTCCCCCCCTTCATTTTTCCCTTCCTTCTCCTAATGTCCTCCATGTTATTCCTTATGTGCCACAAATAAGTGAAACCATATGATAATTGACTTTCTCTGCTTGACTTCTTTCACTTAGCTTAATCTCCTCCAGTCCCATCCATGTTGATGCAAAAGTTGGGTATTCATCTTTTCTGATGGCTGAGTAATATTCCATTGTATATATGGACCACATCTTCTTTATCCATTCATCTGTTGAAGGGCATCTTGGCTCTTTCCACAGTTTGGCTATTGCAGACATTGCTGCTATGAACATTGGGGTGCATATGGCCCTTCTTTTCACTACATCTGTGTCTTTGGGGTAAATACCCAGGAGTGCAACTGCTGGGTCAGAGGGTAGCTCTATTTTTAAATTTTTGAGGCACCTCCACACTGTTTTCCAAAGTGGCCGTACCAACTTGCATTCCCCCCAACAGTGGAAGAGGGTTTCCCTTTCTCCACAACCTCTCCAACATTTGTGATTTGTAGTTTCATATTGTGGTCAGAAAAGATGAATGATATATTTTCAGTCTTCTTAAATTTGTTGAGACCTTATTTTATGACCTACCATGACCTATCCTGGAGCATGTTCCATGTGTACTTGAAAGGATG